TGAAAATTTAATTAATTTAAGTGAAATTAAAGCAAACGTACAGTTAAATTTCAATGTAAAACCCTCCTAAATAATACCACTCGTGTAAAGTTTCAATGAAAGACTTGCGAATAGATCTTAACCATAAATATTAAATAGAAAATCCTTCAGTAACTGTGAATTAACGAATTCAAGTTATAATTTTGCATCTTAAATAATCTTGTCGTCACTAAACAACACGTCTGTCAAACTATAAAATTCAAACTGGTGTGAACTCATTACGATATAATATAATTTGAAATTCTGTACATTAGCTTAGCTTCTCACTCATTTTAATTGCAATTCCACTGGCTTATGAATAAATACTGGTGCTAAATTATAGTTTGACTATACAATATTATAATAAACAGAATGAAAAATTAAACCTTCAGAAGCAATATCAAGTTTTTTTTGTCTGCAAGATTTTGTCGACCTAAGGAGTGCCTCCAAACAGGAAATTCCCAATCAAGATCGATTCCATCTAATTTAACATCTCGGCAAAGTTTAATCATTGATTCAATAAATCTAAAAGGAGAGAAAAATATATAAATAAAAAAATAACTGTTCTGTTATATTAATATAATCGTTACATTACTTATTAAATATATACCTTATATAAAATTAAATGTAAAAAGTATTAATTAATAACTATTATTAATTGTAATTGTAAAATAAATTTACAATTATTATAAATACATTTTATAATTGGAAAACTTTGTCATATTTACTTTTCCCGATTTTCTTTTGAAGAAACAGCCTCAGTAAATCCTCCTTCGTTTCCCCCGCCTCCTAAAGACAGCATGATTTTTAAATTAGGATTTTTATCTTTTAATGAAACTGTCCAACGATATCCTGGAATATTTTTGATATCATAGGACACTTGTGATTTATGTACTCCAGCGAATCCTATTATAATGTGAGTACATAAATTTACATCTATTTGATCTGGAGTCAATCGATGAGATTCATTTCCTTGATATCTGTAGTAACAAACTATCTTCTTATTGTTTCCTACATTATCTATTAAAGAATGTGAAAAAATAAATAAATAATTTAGCAATGTAACCTATTATTTTAGAGAAAATTAAACATAAATTTTTAAACTCTATATAAAATTTCAATATACAGTATAATTTATATAATTATTAAATGTATACAGCTCTATTAGGATATTAACTTTTTAAAAATTCTGTATATTTTTTTTTCATTTATAACGTATTTATTAAATTGGTTTGAAGAAAAATTTCATTAAAATGACAAATAATAACAGATAAAAATTCACAAATTAAAAGCGATATTAAACGTCAGCCTTTTATTGGAGGAGCAATGTGTAAAAACGTCAGATCCACCAAAATATCATACGGTTAACTGATTTTTGAGTCATTGTTTATAGGAAAATTAGTCATTGTTCATTTATATAAAAAGTAAATAATATTAATATTTTAGAAATATTTATATAATGCTGAAAATAATAGAAAATTATAGACATAATAACTGATTTTATGACAAAACAATAAATTTATAACTGTTACCTGTAATATTCAATTGTTGGGAAATTGAACGTGTAAAAAATAAAATAAAGATCACCGAAATAAATAAACGTATGTTTTCCATTTTGGCTTTATGTATGCAAAATTTCAGCTATCTGCAATAAATTTATTGATATAGATTTAATATAATATACAATATGATATAATAAATTATTTAAACACAAAATGAGTCTTTAAAGAAATAAAATAATATTTAATCGATTGATATTTACATTTTTTTAAAATTTTTATAGTATTTTGTTCATATGTATTACACTCTGATGTTAGAAATATGATTATAGTTCATCTGAATTATAGTATTTCCTGGAATTAATGCCAGGAGGGGGAATAATATCCATACAGAAAAAATACAAGATGAAGCTAGTTCCATTATACAGTATATCCAAAGTCAACTACCCTCCACCACAGTTAATAATTAAAATTTAATTTGAGAATTTGTTCTACAGTAAATAGTTTTAAATATTCTTAATAGATTTAACTCCATACAAAACGCTTTAATATTCAAAATCATTCTAGAATAGGATATTTTAAGATGAGATGCCTAAAGTTTTGTTTCGCTGCATGAATGTTTCTTGTGGTTTATATGAGGAATAAATATAAAACGTATGAGCAACCAATTATTTTCCTTTAAGATTAATAAAATCGAATATACTTAAATATAAACTCAATGTAACAAAATGGCAAAAACTTTAAACTTTATTCGTATATTCATTTTAGTCATCTCTCCCGAAGTAACGGATGAGAGGTCAGATGTAGACATAAGATGCACACTTAAACATACAATGAGTTGCCTATTTTATTTCACATTTAATTTCTTAACTATTTTAATACTTTCCACACTTGTAATATACAATGTGTAGCCGTTTGAGTATCGAATCAAGTCTTAAAATAATTTTTTTGCACTCTGCACATTTATTTTTAACAAAAAAATTAGAAAAAAATCACTTATTTAAAAATCGAAAAATGATATGTTATTTAAACCAGCTATTTTAGTTACCAGAGACGAACTCTGCTAAGTATATATGTCTTTGGATCCATTTACATATTATAATTGCGATATTATTTATGTAAAGATTGACTCTAAAGTTACAAATATTATAAAAATGGGAAAATTGCAATTTCAATATAATATATTAGAAACTAATACTTTTTGAAAAGATATTAAATTTTAAATTCCCAAATATTAAGTGACAAAAGAAGTACGAGAAAGTGTAGATATATCAATAATATATAATAAACCGACGGCGCGTAACATAATATACTGTATAATAAACCAATAGCAATTACACAATTCAATAGTGTAACTATCATAACTTTATTATAATAATTCAATTTCCTATTGAGTATCTAATCGTGTTTATTAATTAAACGGCTTATAAGTCGGTATGGAATATATTGTATTTCTTGTTATTACTTTTAATGATTTAAAATAACAATATACTATATGTGTGTAACCAGGTTTTTTTTTTGTGGTCCTAAGCTAGAATGTTTGGTGAAAAATACCTCCACCAAATAAGAAATTTTAAAATGTGAGGTTCTAAATTGTTTCCTCTTAGCATGTGGCATTAAGCTTTAAATTACTTATAAATGTTTAAAAAGACACTTATTGATCTCATTTAAGTTTTATCTGTTAAATTCTACCCTTGAACTATTCAAAGAGTTACTATTGTCACTCTTTTATCTTCATCCAATTGTTTTCAAGCGGAAATTGATTCAGGTGTAACTAATATGAGGTATATGAAGTGTCAATAGAAAATTTCTTCAAAACCGCGATTTTAAGAGAAATATGTTGCAGTTTGAATATTTTTCTTTCAAGGGANCAGTCGACCCCCGTATAAGATCATTGATTATTCCGTTTTATATGAATTCCATGTTGTACGAGTCACTTAAATTTTACAAATACGTGAGCCGTTCACAGCCCGGTACGTGTATTTGTAAAATCTAAGTGACTCGTACAACATGGAATTCATATAAAACGGAATAATCAATGATCTTATAGGGGGGTCGACTGTACTTTTAAAATTTAATGTAATACATTCTATATATCCGTAATTATTTCGTTAATTCTATTAATGTAATATTAAGAAAACTGTTGTTTTCGTAACACATGTAGTATAATGCTTGTAATTGAATGTCATTATAGATGAGAAACATATTAATATACTAATTTGAAACGATTATTACAATACAACCTTTGTCACATAATTCCCGGAAACGATGGGAGAAGAAATAACACGCATTAGTTTAAATTAACCCATGTTTAACCTATGATGAAGAATATCCACTGGATAATGTTATCTATGTCATATTTAAGATATACAGTAGAGACTCGATTATCCGACCCCCGATTAACCGACACCTCGGTTAACCGACCGTCCTAATCGGCAAATTTCAAATGTCCTCTAGTGATGTGGCGCTACAATATTTGGCTATGTCTTGGCTACTTTAATATTATTTTTACGTGTTTTAGCTGGCA